AACTACTAAAGAGAGACAGAAAACTACTACAAAGAGACACAACTACTAAAGAGAGACAGAAAACTACTACAAAGAGACAGAAAAGTACTACAAAGATGGAAACTACTAAAGAGACAGAAAAAACTACCACAAAGAGACAGAAAACTATGGCAGAGTGACAGAAAACTACGACAAACAGATGGAAAACTACCACAAAGGCACAGGAAACTACTACAGAGAAATGATTTAAAAAGTCTGTGAAAAAAGAATTGATAAGATTCATGTTTACAGGACAGATATAAGATACTGTGTGTGAGGGCTTATTTGACATTTTACCGGCTTTAACATGAAGTGCATCTTTATTATAATAGTATATAATACTATGATATTATATCTGGATACATCAGTTATATATAATTTAGTAGAATTAAGAAGATCATCATCACAAGAAAGTCTGAACAAATATCTTAAAACTCACATCCTGCAGCTGGAGGGGAACGATCTTTGCACAACCATCTTTATGATGCTTCACCATGTGTCTGTTTCTCATGAACGACGGTGACGTCCGACCAAACCAAGTCTGTGAGCGGGCTGCTGGGTATATAACTGTGTCAGCATCTGAAGCAGGTTAGAAAGCAAACGAATTCACCATGTGGACTCTGCTGGTTCTTTGCACCGTGGTCACCGTACATGGAGCGAGAGGTATTGTCCACCAGCTTCTCACTCTTGTACTTGTCTCTTGGTTTTGGATGTTTTTCTTACTTCCTTGCATTTGTGTTTTTTACACTGACAGGATCAGTGGCTGTTGTTACCTGTGTTGTCACTAACCTTTTATTTTGTATAATTACTTGTATTCCATCAGGTGATGGTCGCTACCGCACAACTGCTCCAGGTTATTACCACACTACTTCAGGTACAAAACTTCCTCTTTCCTGTAGTTGAGTGTTAACGGTCTTATATTCATCCACGATGCATTCAGCCGCCAGTTTCAATGAAATCAAAGTTATTTACTAAACATGTTGAAGCTGAAATGATCATACATCCTCTTGTATCTCCGAGGTCAAACGTGCCGTAACTACTGCGGCTGGGAATTCTCATACTGCTCCTGCTCAAGCCACTGTCAATACTATGGCACCTGTTGCCATGACTACACGTGTAAGTGCCAAGTCCAAGAAATCAACAGTGTTAACTGTCTCTGCAGCCGTCGCGTTCTGAAGGAGTCAAACCCCACAGTAATGTTTTGAAGAGAGTGACACATGATCTTGTCTGTTTTCACCTGATGGTGTAAAACAAACAGTGGAAGAATTCTTATCAGTTATAAAGCAGCTCTTCTTCATTTTCATTGTTCTTTTCAAACAGACCATTGCACATCAACAACTGGAAGCCCAAACACAAGCCCAGGTAGGATCCTCCGTGTGCACATGAGTTAAATGTTGTTACATACGATTTCATTACAATGACAGTTGCACCATCTTATCCACTTCCAGCTGAACCCTGTGGAGGGAATCTGATTGGCTTTGGGACGTTCTCCAGCCCGAACCATCCCAACTACTACCACGATGGGGCCAACTGCGTCTGGCAGATCAGAACCACACATGACCAGCGAATTCTCCTGTCATTCACCTACCTGCAGTGAGTGAAGAGTGACTTGTGCAAATTGTGAAAAGAACAACAAAACATAGAATTAGGTTCTAAACATAAAGATCCTTTGAGTTTGGCTTCAGTTAATCATATTTTTCGGAACAGATTGGAGAACTGCTGCTCATGTGACTATATTCAAGTCTTCGATGGGCCATCTGTTAATTCTCGGTATCTGGGGAAAGTGTGCAACAACAGTCTGAACTCGTTCTACTCCACGTCCAACTACATGACCGTGGCCTTCAGAAGTGACGGCTCCGTGGTTGGTCGAGGGTTCAAAGCCGAGTTCGTCAGCTCTCTGCCAAGATCTGCAGGTAAAATAACGGCACATTTAATAGCGGGTGTAGGGTGTTTTAGTCTGAATCTTATTTTACGTGTTGTAAACGAGTCGTGTGGGCTGACGTCATGTGTGACGTCTGCTTTGCTTATAAAACTGTCACAAGTCTCAGTTTGGGTGGAGGACGATTAAAGCCTCTACTTTAAACTGGGGGCTGCTGCAGGTGGCATGCTGGGTAATGTAGGATCAAGCAAAGGGATGATAATTGGTATATTTTGGCCTCTACTTTTCAAATTGGACCATTTTCTCCTTTTAAATTTTCTCTTTTGATTCTTTCAGTTTTATGGAGGTGCAAAAACAATTTCAGTCCTTGAATCTGTGAACAAATAATCCAACAAATATTTTAAATTGTCAGTTCTGTGAATGAATTCGCAATTCATCAGCTGGCTTTTACAATGTTTCAGTCAGATCCGAAGTGATGAGCCAAATAACTCTGGAGCCACACTCTGATAAAAACTTAAATCCTGACAGTAATTCAAGCTGTTGTTCCTTTGTCAGGTGTAGTGGAATGTTCCTCAAGCAGCATGAACATTGTGCTGGAGAAGTCTTACCTGAATTCTCTCGGCTACAATAGCCATAACCTGACCCTGGCTGACGCACAATGCAGACCCATTATTTCCAGATACCAGGTGTCCTTCCGTTACCCCATCAACGCTTGTGGCAACACTCGAGAGGTAGACGACTCATCACCCTCTGGAAAACATTAATAATAAACTGTAATAATTCTCCCACAAATGATGTGTTCCACCGTCTTCTACCCTGAACAGTTTAAGGACGGCACAGCTACGTACAACAACATTGTGAGTTCCTACGCCCCCGGCGCCGGGGAGATCACTCGCCAGTCCTACTTGAAGCTGAACGTGGCCTGCAGAATGGCACCGGACTCAGTGAGCCAGATTATGTACCTCGTGGAGAAATATCACAACAGTAGCATTATCGGCACAGGCAGATTCAACACCAGCATGACTTTCTACACGTCCTCGAGCTTCTACTACCAGGTGCGTTAGTGTAGTGAAGCGGTGACTGTTCGTACAGAACATTCCAGTTGCTTCCACAAGGTGCTGATATTTTACTTTTACATTGGCAGGTGACTGAAGTTCCATATGTGGTGACGCTCAACCAGAGAATGTACGTCCAGGTGAGCCAGAAAGCGTACGACAGCAGCCTGGTCCTCTTTCTTGACACCTGTGTGGCCTCGCCGTCGCCCAATGATTTCCAGACCAGAGCTTACTACCTGGTCCGTAACGGGTAAGAGGAGTGTGTTCCTTCTACAAGTATAATCGGGCTGCTCCAACTCATGTGCACACAGACTCTGACTCTCACAAACACTCAGCAACATCCATTCTAAAGCCGATCTTATCACCGGTCTGTCTGTCCACTTGTCCTTTTGAGGGTTGGGGGGGGGGGGGGTAAAGACAAAAGAACCATTCACATAAACATTCAAAGTAAAAATATAAAAACTCCAATTAACCCAACCCCTGATCCGTCTAATACGTCATTTGTCAAAAATAAATTATATTGTTTTTTCCCTCCACTGTGAAGTAGTGAAATCTTCCTCTAATCCTACTTATGCATTGATTCATCAGTATTAAAGATCCTCACCATCATGTCCCTGTTTCCCCTTCAGGTGTCCCATGGACAACACCTACTATGTTTATTACAGTGGCAACCAGCCCTACGCCCGATTCTCATTTAAGGCCTTCCAGTTCCTGCGAGCCTCAGAATCAGTGTTCATCCAGTGCAAGGTCTTGGTGTGCCAGGCCCATGACTACAATTCCCGCTGTCGCCGTGGCTGCATGACGCGTACGGCCAGAGACCTGGGGTCAGAACATCACAGCCAAACGATGGTCCTGGGTCCCATCCAACTCCAAGGTCTGTAGCCATTTGTACTTGGTTTTCATATCAATGATGCATCAATTAAAAAATGATATTAGCTGAGATTTAGGAAAGCTCATCGTGTTCTCATGATGATTCACGATTTCTCTTCACCAGACCCTGAGAAAAAAGAAGAGGGGACTCAAAAGCAGGAGATGGTTTAACTTCTCCAGCCTGTTCATTGTGACAGTGATATATACTCACAATGTTCTTCTCTCATAGTACCTGATTAAAAGCATCATCAAAAGACAATCTGTGTTTGTATGCTTCCTTATGTCGTACTCTAAAACACATATAACAGCTGATAATAACAATAACAAAATCAATAATGTCACCTGTTTATTTCTCTTCTTGAGCACAAAGAAGTTGGAGAAAAAAACAAAACGAAAAACAAAGCGCAGCTTAGTTAGAAAACACTTTACTTATAAATTAGCTTATCTATGTCACAATAAAATGATTTGCCATCCCAGAGGGAGAGAGATCGCCAAGAGGCTTTAACATTCACCATTACCTTAGAACCTACGACACACAGAGCAGAAGGCAGTCATTACTGGATGCTCTTATTACTGGTAAGCATGGTGACAAAGAGTTGGTCCTACAAACAGTAACTATGATCTCCACGCACGTTGCTAAGCAACAAACAACAGTACCCGAGACAAAGAACAATCTTGCTAAAGAAGCAGTCTTACTGCTGCATGGTTTTGCTTTTTTGACACTGAACATCAATCCAACCACTCAATACAATACTCAGTAAATATTCAGAAAAGCACTGGGATCCATATGATAAATGGGGGAATCTCACAAAGGCTAGAACGTGTATTCCCAGTGCTACGTGGCAATTCTGAAAAAAGTGATCACATTAGACACAAGACTTGGTGATTCTGTCCTAAACATAGAGATACTGGATATTAAAGTGACTTCATACAATATCAAAAGATCAAAATGTGACAGGATGTGATTCAAAGTGTGCGGAGAAACTTCATTAAAATGTAGTTTAACAACTTTGCTGGCTGACCAGAATCACTGGTACAAAGTTTGGCCAGGTTATAATGTGGGTGTCACCTGTGCCGTACAGCTGGCACGGATGATTTTAAAGTTTCTTAGCAGCATTTATTGAGCGGAATTTTGGCAAAAAGAAAAGTAGTCATGGCTGCCATAGAAAACGACAGGCTAAGGTTCTGGGCCTATCAGTTACAGTAAGGAGAGGTAAGTGTAATAATAATCTTCAAAGTAACAGTCCTCTTTATCTTGGACACACAAGAAAGGTGACTTTGTCAGGCACTGCAAAGAAATAGTAGTAATGCACCAAGCACTGAAATAAGTTCAACAAGGCTTAAGTAAGTAACTCAAGGCTGACAGTTTGACTCCTGTGTGAGTAACATTGGAGAAATATTTATCTATAGGTCCGGGAGAGTTGAGAATTTATTTGAGTGGTAAATCTGAGAGTGAACCTCGGCCTTCACTCTCTTGATAGGCACAGGTGAGCTACAGTCAGGTTTGTTCCTCAGTGAGGTGATGTAGGAGTTTCAGTCAACAAAAACATTACACCTAACAACTACAAAAAAAACGATAGCCCTTAGCATTGGTGGTATCCCTTCAAAGGGATTTATTGTGTTTGGACAACCCTGATTCTAATAAGGTCAATGAAACATTACAGTGGATAAGATTCCTGAATAATTTCCATCTAGTCAAATAATCTGTAAAAAACTTAAGCTACCAGATCGCCTCTTTGTGAGTGAATGTATTTCATTTTAAATACAATTTTGAAAAGTCAGCCAATCAGTTAAAGGTCCAGTGTGTAAGATTTAGGTGAAAGGGAACTACTGGCAGAAATTTAATGTAGAATAATCCTCATGATGTTTTCACTAGTTCGTTTCATCTAAATTGTAGTTTTCTTTACCCCAAAAAATCCTCTTTATATTTAAATACTTTGTATTTACATCGAGGGGACCCTCTCTACGGAGGCCGCCATGTTTTTAACATTAGTCCAGACTGGACAAACTAAACACCTTTTGAGTTTTGATGAAAACTGAAGGCTGCCACAGGTTCTCTGTCATGTTTGGAAGGAGAGGGTGAGGTGAGGGGTGTTCAGCTGCAACATGAAATTTCAACACTAGATATCACCACATTCTACACACTGTACCTTTAAGCTCACCTACTTCAGGGAAGCTGCAACATAGCATTATATTTTTTTGCTCTGTCCAAACTGATGTAATAAATTGGCTACCTAATCATTACACAAAGTTTATTAGTTGTTGGTTTTAACAGCCCATGAATGTGACTCTCTCCACCACCACAAATAAATTCTCAACCTGTCAAAAACACTGATCATCCCATTCTAATACACTTGAATGGGCACCTTTAATTATATAAAAAGGAACCTGTATAACTGTCAAAGGCTAGGCTACATCAAGGCCAAGTAAAAGTCCAATAAATAAAGTTACTATGGAATTAATAAAAACAAAGCTGTCCGTAGAAAGTTCGCTCAAGTTTTTCCTCATCCTTCGTTACTTGTGCTGCCCGCGGGCAAAGTGGCAGGCAAAGTCATACTTGCTCTTGCATTTGTAGCCGCAGATGTTGCACTGAAATGGGTTCTCGTAGCCATGGCAGCCCATGTGGATCGTGTAAAGGATGTTGTCGGGAAAGTAGATGTCACAGTGCTGGCAGTGATGCAGCGTGTGGTGGTCCTGGAGTGGGGCGGACAGGCCCGGGGCTGGCGTACTGGATTGGCTGTTGGAGACACTAGGAGTACTGGTGCGACCACTGTGCTCGCTGCAGGGTCCTCCTCCAGGGCTGCAATTGCTGTGGGGAGGAGCTCGGGGCTCTGGGGTGATTGGGGAAGAGGACACGTGAGCCACGCTGGCTGTGACATCTACAGGAGCTGTGGCAGGGTGGGGCTGCTGGATGAGGAATGGCTTCTCATCGACGATGGATTCTGCTCCTGGAGACATGGGAGGTTGAGTCAGGGCCTGGGACTCTGACGGGAGGCTGGCCAACTGGCCTGCAAGTGTGGACAGCTGGTTCAGGGGGTTATCCATAACCATATCATGGTGATTATGATTTTGATTAGGGGCGAGCCCGTCCTCGACCGTCCCGCTCTGATTATCATAGGTCTCCTGACGTAAGTGTGGCAGCTCATGAGAGAAGTCATTCACATTATCCGCCTTGTGCACCACCATAGAAGGGGGGCTGAAGTTGATGAGGAGCCGGCGACCATAACCCAAAGAGCTGGCCTTCTTCTGTAAAACACTTAGCATCTTCTTGTGGGAGAGTGAGCGAGCGCCTTTCATTGGGAGGAGTTTGTGGCGTCTGCGGCGGTGGTGCGACAAGTTGCTACGGTCACTGCAGCGAAAGGAGCACAGCTCACACTTGTACGGCTTCTCACCTGTGTGCGATCGCATGTGGGCCTCCAGGTGACGCTCGTAGGCTGAAGCAAATGGACAGAGGTGGCAGCGGTGCGGCTTCTCTCCTGTTAAATTGAGGAAAAGAGACTAAATAACAAAATATTTGTCAGCAGCGTCCTTCGAAAGTTAACGACTAACACTTACCTGTGTGAATTCGGATGTGCTCGATGAGTCGTGCGGTGCCTCTGGTGGCGTAGTTGCAGTAGCGGCACTTGAGCTTGCCGTCATAGGTCCTCTCGAAGCCATCGACAAGGATCCCTGAACTGTCCTCCAGTGACATGTCCACTGTGGGGTGATCCAGTCCATTCTGACTGCAGTCTGTATACATGAACATTAGCAGAATTTATAATAAGAAAAAATTATAAGACATACAACACAAACTCAGGTTATACTTTATTAATTATAGGGAAATAAATAATTCAGCAGTTAGTGCATGTTTTCTCCGGCTTCATCGCCCAAAAACACCCAGATCAGGGTGAGATGAATTAATACTCTAAATAGACCATAGACTAGTAGCCTTAGTATGTTGACCCTGTGATATGCTGGTGATCTATCCAGGGTGTACCCCACCCCTCCTCAGCTGTGATCCTCAAATGATAAGCCTGTAGATAATGGATGATTATTCCAGTGGTTGATGGTAACATTAAACTACAAAGATTGTTAAAGTTAAAAAGAAATGATCTGTATAAAACTGCATCAGGGCCAGAAACAGAGGTGGAATGACACATGATCTCTGTACCTGCTGGCAGCTCGTCCGCCTCCTTGACTCCGCTGACGGAGCCTGATATCATGTTGACATGTTGAGTCTGCTGGCTCAGATACTCCTGGAAGTCCTTCACAAAGTCCAGCGTGTCCGGCTTTTCCTCCCCCATCGAGAGAGAGAGAGCGGTGCGAGCGTCCGACACTAAAACGACGCGTCAACAAGAAACACTGTTAATAAATACACAGAGAGAGAAAAGTCAAGCAAACTGAATGAAGCTGGTCTGGGATCAGCGCGGCACACACTTACCTTGTCGTGGATTAACTCGCCGGCTGGATGTTGAACACTTTCGCTCACTTGTTCGGAGAAGCCGCCTCGCAGCTGTTCAAACACGGTGACGGGTCAGTGCTGGAAACCAGTGTCCTAACAACAGGAGCCCGCTGCGGTCCGATGTGAGCCCTGTCCCCGCTACACACAGCCCCTCGTCCCCGTCATGTTGGAACCGAAGCTACGTACGCTGCGTTAGCCGCGCGGCTAAAGTTAGCTTATCTCGGAGGAAGCATCTTTATCGACAGGAAGCTCGTTATCTGGTCCACACCGCCATCTTTAGTTGTCACGGTCGGGTCTGAGATAAAAAAAAAAACCATCCAGAGAACTGCTGGATTTAAAATGTGTCTGACGTCGACGCGTTTGCTACGATTGTAGCGGAAACACAACCTGACAAATCAAAACAATAAACCAGTCGGAGGGGTGAAAGTTCAACACGTGTGCACCGGTAAAAAGCGTCCTGACACCAGCGAAGAGAGGAAGAAAGGTTCCTATCATCCAGAGTGAAATCACAAAAAACTACAGTAAAGCAATCGAGAAGAACGTGAATGAACGATGCACCAGGTTTCTGTCAGTCTGATGACCGACAAGGCCTGAAAGCACTGCAGGGGACTGGGTAATATATTTTTAATATCAATAGTGTGTTATTTACTCATCCTTAAATGTGCTCCATCCACTTTATGGCCTTTAATTAGACATCAGAGTGGTTAAATAGCTAAAAACAAACTTTATCCAACTAGCTACAGAAGAAGGAGAAGTTAGGCTTCCCGATAAAACATGCTAGTGTTTTGTTTCTTGCTCAGTTTTAGATTTAATATGGAGACAACAGATAGAGCATCAGTTTAGACTGGCACATCCCTTATGATGATTTCCTACCATTGAGTTAGTGAACCTGAGAAAAAAGGTTTCCAACGGAAAGCTGTGAATCTGCTCAAAACACAGTCATCCACCTGGTATGTAATAGTGAAGCAAATGTTTTCTGTGCCTGAATACATAATATAAATAAGATATCAGTTTACTATAGCACAGGCCTAAAAGGTTTAATAATAAGATACTGTTTAACATTGATGTATTATTTACTAATCCTAAAATTGTACCACTCTGCTTATGAACCATAGTTAGACGTCAGATTGGGAAGGTCACTTATTTAAATTACATGTTTTCACAATAATTCAAATATCTACAAACTATCAAACCAGCTACATAAAAGTAGTCTTTGACAGACAGGAGAACATTTACCGGTCATGAAAGTGACTAAACATTTTGTCATTGGCTCTCCGACAGAACATGCAACAGTTTTTTTTACTAGCTTAGCTTCAGATTTAATATTGAGAAATAAACCAGTGTATAATTTGAGATTGGCCAAACCCCTATAATGTTTCAACATTAAACTTTTATAAAGGCGTATACTTGAATGAACTTGGATGTTCGTAATTCTAAATGTCTATTGTTTTTGTATCAGTGTTGAACCTACCATCAACAATGCTCTTAAAGACAGTCACTTTTTTGTTTTCTATAGATGTGTGAATTTAAACACCCCTCTCTCACCAACAGCTAATGAAGTTAACTGATAGCATGTCCATTCATTCGTTGCTGACATGACACACTTTCTAGATGTACAGCTTCCAATTAGGTGCAAGTGGCAAATGAGCCAAAACAATTGCATTACTTTCCAAAGCTATTGACTCATTCATGTTTTATCATGATCAATAATTCACCAGTCAGGGCTTGGTGAAGATCGCGTTGCCCCATTTGTGTCAAAGTTGTAGGAAAGGCACTGAGGAGAAGATGATAAACGACCAAGTTGAGCGAGGCTGCTGTATCCTTTTACCGCATTACAACTGCCACTGTCAGAGCTGCCGTATTACAGCAGTAATGTAAACCAGCTGGCAGGGAACTCCTCACTTTGTAACACAAGTCGATTGTTTACAGTTCATCTTCCTGTCTATACTTTATTCTCTAAGAAATATAGTGTGTGTGTGTGTGTGTCCTATTTTAACATACTATCACATATTTCAACTTTTTTTTCTCCATAGGTCTATTTGTTCCTTCTCGTTCAGATGCTGCTGCTTGTCCACATGCGAGCACAGTTCCACATCCAGACACTGGATGGCGCACATGTCTCAGTGGTGGAGCAGGTACTTCCCATGATTCTACCACACACTGGTTTGAGACACAAGTTCTCCTCACGTGACACAGGAGACAAAGCTAAGACATGTGGACACATAGTGCTCACGAGCATTAACCTCGCGGGCAGAGGTTTGACTCCTCACAGTCACACAGGTTGTAACTGTCAGTGTTCACACAATGTTCAGTCAGATAGTTGATCCCTGTGTTTGTCAGCTGCCTGTCCCAGAGGACAGGAGTTGTGGGGGGGTGCATGACAGTCGACCTCACCGGTTGAACCATGACCGGCGCAGCAGCCAATTACATCAGCTCCTAACAGCCTGTCCACACTAATGTTATTTTATTGCAATTTAATTATTCTCAGGTTTCCACCAGGGCCAGGTCCTGTTGAATAATTCACTCACAGCCACAATGATTTGTCGGCACGAAAAAGACAAAGTGCACACTTCTCTACACTCTCATTTGTTTCAGTGCTATTGTTTTTAATTCCCATCATATAAATCATAGAAACAATAATCTTATGTTGTGTTTCCCACTAAGCATGTCCTGCAGTTAGAATCAATGCTGCATTTGGTTTAAAAGCGTAGATTTATTACGCCTAAAAATACTTAAGGCGAATAATTGGTCATACTTAATTTTACATTAATGACATGTCCACCGTGCGATATATTAAGCTGTTCTGTTAAAGGGCATTGGACGTGTATTAATGAGTTGGAGAGCAGGTAATACTCAGATAGGGATTAGTGAGGCTGGCATTTACACCTAACAATGCTGTGGTCACATTAGTCAATCAACCCAATATAATCTGATGGGAACTTGAAATGACTTTATATAGTAAACCTTCATTTTCTGCCATGGACACGATTCCATCTAATGATGACACACTCATCCAAAACTGAATAAATCATATATTTAACACTTTGTAAAGATCAGACTTGAACTTAAAGTCTTCAACCACAGGACTAATCAAATTCATATAAGCGAGTTTGAATACACACAGTGGCACATGCAGAATGGGCTCTGGGACAACACCTGTCTTTGAGAAGGTTGCAGTGTTATCCACTTGCTCTGATTCACATCTAAAAGGCCTGAATAAAAAGGTTCCCTCCTCCTCTTAACTGCTTGATTTACAGGCTGTTTGTGGTTTAATGCCAGACAGGACAATTCATTTGCTCCTCCTTTACTGAAAGAAATGGGAATTTAATTTAGAGAAGGTCTTAAGCAGTTTTTTAAGACTTGGTGTCATTTGTTGGGCTTGTGTAAGAGCTGCATTAGAGATTACCCTCCTGGAAAAGCTTTTTAATCCCAGACAAGTGCAGCCATAGTAACGGCACACAGGAGCCTCTCGGAGGCAGAAAGGTGAAGGGGGACTTTGACGAGATTTATTCTTCTTCTGCTGAGACTGTTTCTTTCTTGAGGTCTCCTGCTCCACGTGGAGCATTTGAAAAAGAACTGAGAGGTGGGGGATAGGATAAAGGAGGTATATATTAAGCTTTTCTTTCCTCTCACCACTTAATTTCCTTGCAGGCGCGCCTTGCGCCGTTGTAATGAATGTAATTGCCGCCTTTGATGAGAATGCTATTATCTGGATCACACTTTACATGGGCAAACAAGACTGCCCCTCCTTCCATCTCCACCTCCCATTTAACTCAGCAATGAGACCCCCCAATTATGCGGGGAACAAGTGGCTTTTCATAAAGCCAGCGTGTCGCTCTTGATTGGTGAGGCTCGGAGCCGGCTACATGTGGACAAAGGATAGATTAGATGTGATATAGGCACACCAAAAACCCCATTTCCTAGATTAATTTCCTGCATGCCTCATAGAAAGGGCCCACTCTCTCCCCACTGAATTCTATCTCTTCTTAAAAGACAAACTTTCGTCTTTTGATAGGTGTGGCACCTCGATGGACAGACAGACATTTTATTGACCCAAGTTTGACCACAGCTGCCTGGAGTGCAAGAGAGATTAGGAGCGAAAAGAGAAATGTTTCATGTCCACGTGGGAGGACGGGATTATTATTTATTTTTTTAAAAGCTCAAAATCTTTTTCCTAGTCCTACATTTCCTGCCCTTGGCCTGGATCAGCTCACTTTTTGTGCTGATCTGTTTGCAGTCTCTGTGCACACAGACACACAAACACACAAACACACACACTCATTCTCTGTCTCTTTCACACACCCACGCACAGACACACTGAAGCACGCTAAACACCCATTTGATAATAGTGGCGAACAGATATGATGGTAGTTTATGAGGCAACGCGCAATAAAACTGCTGTCACCTCAGGAAGTCTAAGTGTTCTTCTGACTGCCTTATTACCGTATTAAAGCACGACTTGACAAATTCACAGACACAGACACACACACACACACACACCTCAGCCAGCATCTGACAACGTGGCGTGATTCTGTCTAATATTACACCAGGCTGAAATATCGAGAACAATCAAATCGACTGTCACAAGTGACAAATTATACTATTACTCCTCAAAGATTGTCATCCTTGAAATGTATTCATAGCCATTTCTTCTTTATCGGTGAGTGATTATTCCTCAAAGCAAGCAATTCTCCTGTGATGAATTGGTAATCAATTCATTTGACTGTTATGTTTTGAGAACAGCTGCGAGGAATCGGCAGCATTGGTCACTCTCATCCCCTTGCATATATATCCAGCACTCACCTGTGGTGCTGTTTGGCCTGATGGATGCCAGCTGCCTGACCACCAGACTCCTAAAGGTTTATACCATCAGAAACAGCTTGCCATCCGCGCCCAGTCACGACAGAGAAAGAATTGGCCAATATTTTTGACTGAAGTGGCATTTTAGCAGTATTTATTTCATGGTCCCACTACCAAAACCAAGGGTCACAAATAAAGAAGATGGTATAATAGCTTTTGACTGGCCAGCGAGCTCCCGACTTGAAATGAAGTGTCCAGTTGTGAGTTATCGTGGCCAAACGTCATTTGTACAGCCTGAAAAGTGGGGACATTTTTCTAGCCTGTCAGTCTCTGGCTATAGCTCATTGTCCTGAATGATGCCTCTGAACGCACAGTTGCCCTAATACGAGCATTTCACTCGTGCAGCAAGAAGCTTGGCAATGGATTAGCCTGTCAATAGCAAGATAATATAGTGCATCCACTGGAACATCCTTAAACTCCAATGGGTCACTCATGTAGAGTATCAACTCTGCCACACTGAACACGTTTACTGTGATCTTACTGCAACTGACTGAACCTAAACTAGATCCAGTTTCTTTTGTTTTCATCAATTGATAATTATTTCCTATTTTCTCTTTCCATTCTTTAAATCTATGAATTAATGGTTTGGA